GGACTATTATAAGGGATTCTGCAGAGACTACTACAAGAGAACATATGCATGGACGCCACATGTGTCCTATGTATCCCTACTAGTAGCTGAATTGACGTTCCTTAACAGCAACCCAGGTAGGGTAGGGTTGAAAGATTTCCAATTTCAGGGTTTAGCGTTCGGGGATTAGGGCATACGGTTGATGGCATGGGCTTCAGCATGGTCTAGGGTGTTGGATTTGGGATGCGGGGTTTAGTGCCCTTCTCATCTCCCTCTGTGAGTTTCTCGAAACATGAGATGCCCCATGGGCCCAGGGAGACATATAGTTCCCGTTAAGTAGCTAGAATATGGCTTTGGGTATATTATAATAAGATCCTCACCTACCCCATATTCTATCTACTTCAGGGGATTATAGGTATAACTAAGATGTGGACTATATGGGTCCCTCATCACAGAATAGATAAGTGGGGGGAACTTCCATAGCAAGCCTTACATACCCTTGTACCGTACACTCAAACTTGTTGATAACCATAAGCCCTAGATCCTAAACCCTACACATTTCATACGTAGAATATGCCAGTCGCGATTGCATGCATGCTTGTGGGGTATGCGGCCTTGCAATATTCATAGTTGCAGTAGACTGGGAAAGCTGCTGTTGAAATAGATGCCGGAATCGCTGTTATCGTTAGAAGTATATGGGCTGGCAATAATGACAGTGACAACAGCAATAATGGCAGTAGTCGGCTTGCTGACTAGAGGGCTGGCATTGTCTGCTTTTGCTGCAGCAGTCAGATACCTTACAGTAATGGTGCCTGCGGTGGAGTGGCAATGAACCCGTTATATGTTCCAGAAGTAGCCGTCAGATGTGCCTGCCACCCTGATCAAGGCCCAGCTTTGTCCCGGCGAGGTCACAGCAGCGAGGCGGCTTTGAGGCCGTGGAGTAGCAGAAGGTAGAATTTGTAGGAGCAGGTGAGGAGGAGAAGACTGCTGTGGCGTTGTAGCAGCAGCAGCAGCAGCAGCAGCAGCAGCAGCAGCAGCAGCAGCAGCAGGCGCCGCCGCCCGCCGCTGCCCGCCGCCGCCCGCCGCCGTCGTGTTCGTCATTGTCGTGGTTGTCTTCGT